CATAAACAAAAAGTAGTTTAATAAAATTTTGAATGTAAGACACTAAAATCTTGTGTCATGTGCAGTTAAGGGTACTTGGGGCGATAGGGTTAATTAACACACTGAGTTATTCTTCTTGACAAATAGCGCAGTAGTAGCAAATGGACTCACTCATTATCTTCATTGTCCTATGCCCAACTGATCTAATAGATATCAATCACTGTTTTCATGTGTCAGAAACTTGAGGGTCTATTTTCATATTTAAAACAATGTTGGGACCTGATAGCTGATTTTCCCTAGAACTTATATAGATATTCACCATATTTTTACCAGGTTTTCCTGATGTAAATATTAAGATATTTATTAGAATAAAGTAATTAGATTCATTTTGGACTTGAGTTGTGTTTATGTAACTTTAAGTTGTACATGAATGCTTTTAAAGTTCTCACTTTTGATTATTGATAACAGGTTTATTTTCACTTTTGTTTATGCATTTGCAATTTGGCTTTAGTGTTAATTTAGTTAAGTGCTTATTTAAATTTGCCAATGCCCAAATTGTGAATAAGTTGCTCCACGGGGTAGTGTAGTGTAGATTTTTATGTAAAATATACAGTATTGTTATTATTGTTTAGTAAGTTGAAGGTAAAGTTAACTTTGTTGTCGTACATTTGAACTTGTAGACACACTGTTGTAATTCACATTTATATATTTGCCCAAGTTATAGGGAGGGGGAACACGCATGAGCAAGGGCATAGTATTTAATAAAATTGTTGCTTTTGCTAGTAACACACCTTTTCTTTAATACACATAGTAAAAATGCCTGATGACTTGCCTTTTGTTGTATAATAGTGCATTATTGTTCTTGTAAACTGTGAAGGTCTCAATCAAAGATTGATTCTTTGTGCAAGTCCGCATGTCCTATCTTATTCTTTGTGGCCCAACTGTCACACCTGTTGGAAAACATGCCTGTATATGAGATCCGTAAACCTCCTGTTTTTCCAGGTGCAGACTTCTCTGCTTTGCCAGAAGGTTTTCAGATACCACAGCTATTATATACATTATTTTATTGGGAACTCATATTTGAACAGTAAAAAGTGATGTAATATCACAGTTCTCATCATTGGTTATAGCAAAACCTAAAATACCCCCTAACATCTTCTTGCAGGTTTGAAATATTTTCTCAGTCAAAAAGTTAAAATTTTGTGCAAGAAACTATTGGAGGTAAATTATTCAGGCAAAAATATTCAATTGTACAAATAGTAACTTAGATGGTGTTATCGGTTTTTGGGAATGTTTAGTTAATGTTTATAATTAAACAAAAATCATTTTTCAGGTGAAAGAGACAACAAAGCAAACAACTGGTACTAAGAGGTTTTCTAAAAGAATTGAGTCTGAAGATGAAAAATTAACAAATGATAAGAACATTACAGAACAATTGGTTAAGTATCTTCCACAGTCTTCAGAAAAGACAACCAGAAAACTAAATTCTTTACTGCCCTTTCTTCCTTCAAGGTTTGTATGTTTTAAGATAAGATTTGTAAAGTCTGTTTTGCTGGTATGATTTATCTTATGACAAAAAAAAAAACATAAAAATGAGTAGTATGAAATAAATTAGCAACTAGAAACAGAACACACCAGTGTAGTATGTTAAATTTTGATACTACATTAGCTGTTGTTTTTTTTAAGTTTACTTTTAGTGAGTGTTATGTTTATGGGTTTCTAAGCAATATTAGTACATTGGAAAACAAAGCTTCTTTATAGTGCTATGTATTTCGTTTTAAAGAAACACATAGAGATTATGAAATGCTTATGACTGTAATTTTTTGTTTTCACAAATTATTTTCTGTTCATCATGAAATATTATCTGAAGGGATGTATTTCATAATGTAGATTTATTTAAATGCAAACTATTAATATTTTTGGTTTTTGTGTATGTGTTCATACCAAGTTCAAGTGATACAAGTAATAGACAAATATTGATGTAGAGATAGCAGTGCCAAAAAGTACAGAAACAAGGTAAGGATGAATACACAAATCCTTACAAAAATTACTACATAAATAGCCAAATCGTTCAAAGAATAACTTTTATTTACAACTAAATGTTTAATTCTTTCAGTTGCAGGAATTCAGGTTTGAATAAAAGTATTTAAACTGAATAGTGCTATACAGTCTCACAGTAGATAATATCCATAAGCTTGTAAGATTGACTCATTATTTACTGGCTACTTATGTAAGGATTTTGTTTTGTCGTTGTACCATTGTCATAAATACTTAGCAATTAAATTTGCTAAATGGCAAACATTTTTGACAAAAAGTAATATCAGAATTGGGTATTCAAAACATTATGTAATGTACCCAATTAACAATAAAACATGCATATAACAACATTTTTATTAAGTGTCTCTATTTGCAACTCAAATAAACTAAAAACTGAAGAAAAAGAATAGAACATCTATATCTTTTGAATTGGTACAAATATAAATTATTTTTAGAAAATGTTGATTAATTTATCACTTTACTTATGTCTCAGAATTCTCCAATTATATCACTATGAAGTAAAGAAAATAATAATTTATTTAGTTTACTTTCTGTTCACTACATAGTTCACAGATCTTTTAATTTGCATGATTTTTTGTGCCACTGGTTATACTACAACAGTTATGTTGATAATAGTTGATTGGTCTGAAAAAACTAATTTTAAAGTGGTGATATATATATATATATATAATCCTTAAACAATTGGCCTGCTGTATAATATCGAATAAGGAATTAGGCACAATGTTCTAACATTATTAACACTCCTAAATTAACTTAGGTTACCCTTTGTTGACTTAAAAGGACTAAAAATACCCATAGGAATATTTTGAAAAATGGTTTGTTTGTTTGATTCCAGTTATTTGTTGAAAGCTACTCAAGAATTAGTTGTGCTAGCTAGCTGTCTCTAATTTTGAACTGGTAGACTAGGAAGAAGGCTGCTAGTCAACACAACTTATTGCCAACTCTTTGGTTTGTCTTGTCTAACCAAATCGTGTGATTTGACCATCACTCTTATAACACACCCAAGATCCCAAATTGCACAGCTTCATTTTATTGTGTGGTAATGGTACACAATGGGTCCACAGATCCATAATTCGACATATTAACATCTGGATCATGCTTGGCTCATTTACAAGAGATTCCTCTGTCTTGAAACTGTACCTTGAGATATGAGTGCATGAAATTAGGTAGAAGGAATATGTCTTGTTATCTAACATTTATTGAATTTTATAATAGTTGATTCTTGTTTAAAAGAAAAATTTGAAACTTTTTTTTGTTTTGTAAAATTAATTTCAGAAATATGGCAAAATAAAGTGATACATGGACAGTTTTTTTATTTGCCAAATTAAGAGGTAAATATTTATTTGCACTCCAAAAAGAGAGAGAAATTACTGTACACTCATGGTCTCTGTAATAAAGGAAATAACCGTTATTAATCTATAAAAATCTTAATTACCGATCGCCCAGAAGTTATGAGTCTTGGATTACTGAAATGTTCTTGTAGGTTGAAATGTTGTAAGATGTTTAAAGTGAAAAAGGTGCCAGGTTTGAATAAACAACACTATACATGTGAAATTTTTGGTGAAATTAAGGTTGGAAATTAATTTAGAAGTTTACTTGAATATATGTACATATTGATTTCATTGTGTTCTTTATCTATTTTCAGATGGAAAAATTGGGTTGTCAGAGGAATATTTTCAGTCCTAATGATTCTATTCTTCGGTGTAATCATCTGGATTGGACCCCTTGCTTTAATGTTCACAGTTAGTAAACTGTTTCAACTTTATTCCTATATGATGATTATGGTTTGTCATAAATAAACTTAAAAGTTGGACACCATATTTGTTTTTCTTTAAATTTAGTTTGACTCTTTTCCGTGTTTGGATTTTCAAATTTCCCATACAAGTTTGACATATAGTTTTTAATTTTTTTTACTTTTCTGAAACCTTATGATTATACAAGTTGAAGTTACTGCTGATTCATATAAGATAATGTAAAAGAAATGATAATGCATGTGCAAGAACACAATTAGTTTGAGGAATGAGTAGAGCTGAACAGTTAGTTTAGATTAATTGATCATTTTCATGAATAGTAACACTAACTGATTAATCTGAACAATTCTCAATCAATGTAAAGTAATAATAATGGCAATAGTTCGATTACTTGGAATGTTTGAAAATTCAAAAACAGTACATTTGATTAGTTTATTATTCAACTTAATCGTAATATGTTTAATCAGTCATTGTTTGTCACACTAATTGAGGTAATTGATGCTCATAGCTAGGTAATTGATTAATCAAGTTTATTGCCCAGCTTTAAGAGTTTGTGTGGGAGAGGGGGGAGAATATTTGCTCTGTGTATTCAGTTCTGAAAATTAAAAAGCTGTAAACGTACACGTTCAAGCCTTTTTTTAGTAGATAATTTTCCATTAAATGTTGCAAAATGAAGATCATATATGGAGTTGTATATTCTAGATACTGAAATGAGTGATTATCAGTTGGTTTCTATTAAGTGTTTTGTCTTTAATAATTTATTTAAGTTTAAACTTTTTGTGTAATTTCACTAGAATATAAATCAGTTATAAGCAGAAAGGTATTAAGTTACTGCATTCAAAGTCTGTATGTATGTTCCAAGATTAAAAATATAATTTTTTTTTATTAACAGACTTTGAACTATATAACTATTTACTCTGGACTGTAGTTGATCGTGTCACATGACTACAGTTGGGATGATGTTGTTAGTATAAAATAAACTTGAGACTCATTTAGTGAAAACCTAAAATCATAAAAATGTTTATACGATAAAGAAAATATTCTTCTGATACGACATGCAATGCCTTCTCACACCTAGCTTTTAAGATTTAGTGCTGCTCTCTATATGAAAACATTTTTGCTCACCACTAGCTTTGCTTATTTGCATCCAACAACCTTCTATCCATAAGTTTGTGATACCATCTCCTAGTGCAGCTAGCTCCCTCTATACTAATTATTAAATCATCACTTATCAATTTGGGACTCGTATGTTAAGATGTCTTTTTTTCAATAATGTGATATTTCTGAACATCAAAGTTTGGTAGAAGTATCCACAAATACAATGATGTGGAAATATTTTTGTTTTTATTTTCCAACAGTTCTGCCTCTGCAGACTTTGTGGCTCTCTTATTTTCCACAACATAAATTACACAGTGATGGTCATTTCCATGCTATCTAGTGTTGAACATCTGGACTTTGTTCATGGGCATCAGGTACTTCTTTGTCAGGAGACATATGGCTATTGTGCTGTGGGTTGTGGAGTCTTGCATGTGGCATGGGCCTTTTTCAGGCCTAGACATGGATTTCTCTCCTCCTATAATTTCCATCCATTATGACATGGGTTTTAGGCAATTGTTTCCCCCTAACTAAAATTGCAAACAATTCTTTCAGCAGATGTGGATCTACCTCAAAATTCGTTTGTCCTTCTGTGATTTTTCTTCTTGCATTTGATACCCTTTTTCACTCTCTCCTATTTCTTATTATTCTTTACTTTCTCTTCTTTATTTGAACCTTTCTTCAGACTATTATGTTTTTCCTCCTTTCCCTGATATTTGTGTCCATACTGAACAATTTTTGTCTCATCTTCACTCTGTTGCTGGTATGCCTTGTCCTTCTCAACTAATTGCACACATGCCTTGGCTTATGCTCAAACTGAAGTACTTTTATTGGACTCCAAAACTCTTGAGTCTGTTCTTCAGGCTTTGGGTTCTGATCCGTTGTTCTCTGTTAGTCTTTCTAAAGTTCAGTTTTCTTGCCTTCGTCTTACTCACACTACCCTTTTGCATTATTTATCCTCCATCCATCACCTTTTGGAAGCAATCTGCCATTCC